CCATTCCAAAAGATGCGTTCCAGCAGTGTTTCCAGCAATGGCAGGAACGCTGGGAGAAGTGTATACATTACCAAGGAGACTACTTTGAAGGGGATTAGGGTTTTGTACCTCAAAGTCAATAAATTTATTTTTGCCGACCAAAGGTCCGATACTTTTTGAACAGACCTTGTATCATTAGCTGCATTCTTATTCTGGGAAATACTATAATATAATTTAAAAACCTATTTTAATAGTTCATATTTTTTAGATTTTAGATAAAAGTTATCTCTATATATGAAATTTTACATCTTTTAATATGATTTTCACCTCATAAAATATAGAAAAATAAAAAAATCTTGTAATATGACATAAAATAAATTAATATGAATACTTATAAGAGTTACAGCTATTATTCAGAACTTTTATTTACAGAAATTTAAAATTTATTTAACAAAATCACAAATTTTAATTCTATATAATAAATAATCAACTTAATCTATTCATTATAATTATTATTATAAATGTGGCATTATTATTATAATATAAATTCTTATATTTAATAGTAATAAATATATTGTCAGCTGAAAAATTTGGATGCATTTTAAAATGTAGATTTTCCAATCAGAATTTGTGTTTAAACAAAATTAAATCCTCATACATTTAAATCAGATCAAAATTAAATATTTTATAACTATTTTTAAATAAATTTTATATATTTTTTGTTTTTCAAACTCTTCACATTTTGGGGACATTAGAGGGTTTATTCATGCTCATTGTTGGTTTGGCTAGTCCAAATTGGGAAAGTAGATCTGGCATATCTGGCACTCTTGGAAAATTTTGATCCAGATTTAAAATAAGTGTCTCCCAGAACAGTTATCAATACATGCCCTTATCACCAAAAGCACACATCATCCATCTGGCAATTAATGGAGTAGCCTACCATTCTGTTAGACTTGATTCAAGTTTGAGTTGGCTCAAATTTTTGTGGATTGGTTGACTTCAGTAATATCAAGATTTTATCTCTCACTACCCAATTGTAAGCCTAATGGATTTTATAACATGAAAACATGGCCCTCTTAATGCTTGCAATGTGAAATAAATTAAAAGTTCAAAAAAACTCTACAATTCAGCCATTACATCTTTTTTATACTAAAAACAAATCACTTTTATTTAATATTTATAACAGTAAAATTTTAAATTCTTTAATAAAAACTGTTTCAATGGATAATCGTTATTAATAACTGTAATGAAGCACAATGAATATCATAAACACACCTTGAACAAATAGATATTAATAAAAATTTTGGCCCAAATTCTTTAATTTGTCCATTTAACAATTTATTAACATTTATTTATATCTAACAAATGCATATCTAAAAATTCAATCATTTGAAAATGTTTACTTTTTATCAGTTTAATACAAATTCTACAAATTTAGAATACAGTATAAAAATACTTTCAGTTTAAAATCTATAAATATTTTATATGGATTCATATTAAGCCAGCACCGAAATATCTTGTTACTATTTTAATTAGTTGCATGGTTTTTTATTTTACACATTATAATTTGGTTTCTTCACTTGTGATTGTTGCTTTAATATATATATAGTGTTTATGCTTGAAACAATAATTGACATCAGACTTTGCCAAAGATCTTTTATCTCCCAAAGATAAATGTTGCAAATAATTACAACAACAAGTATTATCAGAGAGACCAGTTTCTTTCTTTGCATCTTGTACATTGTGAGATAAATCTGAAAAAGATTAAAATGTTAATTATTTTAAAGTAAAAAATTTAAATAAAATTCTAAATTTTAACATTTATAGCCAGTGGTAATTTTGGGATAGGCATCCTAGGCATTTGCTTAGAGCCTTGTAGTTTTAGGGATCTAATGCACAAATACTGTATTTACTCACGTATAAGATGACCTTGCATATAGGACGAGGTGTGACTTTAAAGATCAAAATAAAGAAAATTAGATTTATTAATACAATTCTAATTTTATTTTGTTTCATCACAAATAAAATATTATCAAATGCACGTAAATGCACACATTGTCCCACATAAATTACTGGCATTTTAAACTTTAAGGAAAAATCTTGTAAAATTGGTATAATTTGTTCACTTAAAGCTGGACAATCGGGAACCTGTTTTGCTAATTCTTAACAGTCAAATCCACTCTCCATAGATTACACTTATGAGTTTCTCCGAACTCTGATTCCTGAATAATCATCTATTTTCATGTGAGAAAGGATTAAAACTTATACTGGGCTCCCACGTGATTTTGGAATTCAAAAGCTTTGCTTTTCCTATTGCTATTCATCTTTACTCCTGACAGTACACAAGAATGATTCAAATGACCCAGATAAAATACTTTTGTTTTCAAACACCAGAGCGTGAGCATCTGGTGAAAATTGCGAATACACGATTCACGAAAATTATTACAAAAACGCAAAATCCTTCGCTTGCACATATAGGATGAACTAGGTTTTTGAAGAAGTGAAAAATTAATAAAAACCTCTTCTTATATGCAAGTAAATACAGTATATGCTTTTCTTTAGTTCAGTACCAGCTAATATCCTAGACTTGTATAATATCAAGCATTATATGATATAGACTTTACATTAATATAAACATAAAAGAAACCTCACAAGTACACTCTTACATAAAATAAAAATGCTGTTGTTTATATTTATATATAAATAAACAATAGATAAGTAAAGTTTTTATATAAAATAATTTATTCATATTAATTATAACTTTAATAATAATAATAATTAGTTATCTGCTTAATTAAATCTTTGACATTTTCTGAACTAAGCTTTGGGTTGGTTGAGAAATTTTTATGGATTGAATGATTTCATAGCTTAAAGAATTTCAATTTATAATTTCTTAAAGAAAAATAAAGACCATTAGTGAATACTGTATTTCATATCATTTTGGATTATATAGATTAAAACTGTTTTTAGTTTCATTCATTAATTATTATGCTTTAAAGATTCACCATTGATAACTTTTTAAAACAGTCAGAAAAATGCATTTTAAAGAAAAAACTTTGTTTAGTTCAAGTAGTTATTTTCAAGTAAATTTACTTTTTTAAATTAAAAAAAGTAAATTTACTTTTTTTAATTTAAAAAAATAACTACTTGAAATTCATACAGTTAGATTGTTCAACTTCTATAGTTAAACCATAAGGATTGTCATTACAGTCTGTATGACATTTGTACAAACTGTTAATGACATTTCATACAGTTAAATAAAAAAGTTAGTAAAGCATTATTAAAAATAAAATTCACATCTAATGTGAGCAATTATTGGATTTATTCAACCTAAGAAAACTAAACTTTTAATATACTACATGTAAGTTTGCACATAAACAAATGCTTTAGGCAACTTAATTAGCTATCACTAGGCTCTAAATATGTGGGAAAAAATTCCAGAACATTAGTTACAAATCATAAGTACTGAATTGAAATACTTTTTGAAATGAATATATTTGGTTCATAAGCAATGTTCTGGAATTCAGTATTTTTTTCTGAGTTTAAATGATGATGATGATGATTTGTGTGAAAATTACTTGCTTGACATTAAAAGTTTAATTTCATAAAATAATCCGTTTTTCTGTAAATTATATCTATTAACTGCTTGTTCTACATTTCAAACTAATGAAAGAAAGAAATGCAGTTTATGTTTTGTGTCTAACCTTTTCAGGAATGTTAAGATTAAAAATTTTTATTTGGAAAGTTATCAAACTACATTAAATCTATCTAAATTCTAAAAAGTAACATTAAATGTTCTCATATATATAACTTAAATTCTATATATTTACCTGTAAACATCCTGCAAATGCTTCTATAAGAAATGACATACTATGTGATGGATTAATGCCATCTACTTCCTAAAAAATATTTTAAATGTTATCACATTAAATTTATTTTTATTAATAAATAACTTTTGTAATAATAAATAATTATTTAAAATACAAATTTAGAATTAATTAACTATTAAGAAATAAAAAATAAGTAGCATTATATTAAAAGTATGAAATAAATGATTGCTTATAGAATACTTTAGTGACATGGTTCTTAAGAAATTACTTTAAGCTTTAGTTTTTTTATGTTTCTTAACCTCTTATCAATTATGATATAAGCATTTGAGTTTCTAATAGTTTTCCACATTATTTGCAAAAAGACAATCTTATTTAGTGCCTGGTGACTGATCAATTTTAAATCTGGGTAAGGAGAACCAGCAGTAAGAAAGGCATCTGGAGCATAAAACAGCCAAATAAGATTGTAGTAGCTATTAACTGCATGAGAAGGAGATATCAGGCATTCCCATATGACATGGGAAGATTAAGACAGAAGAAACAGACTGATATAAAGATAAGCTATTTCCTCACTTCATATTTACTATTAAAAAGATTCAAAAGAATACATTTATTTATAAATTGCCTTTTCAATCAATAACTGACATAAAATAAAACTTAGATAGTAAAGGTTTATGCATTTTGCATTAATGTTTTAAAGACTTAAACTGTTTCAGTTATAGATACTTTCAATATGCTTTACTTGAATTAAAAATTTAAATTCTCTATAACTGTTATATTTACCTATTAAACAGTATATTATATAGAAACAATAAAAAAAATAATAAGTCTTTATTAAGAAGTCAATTGTTATTTATTTAATTATATATTTATTTTATTCTCAGAAACAGAAACCTTAAATACAAGAATAAAAACAAGATGGTTGAGATGTAAAAGTATTAGCTACTTCATTGAGAAACATGGATTTGAGTTTGGATCAGATCCGCAAAAATTTTTATGGGTAATCTAGCCAAGATTTATCATCCTCTTCCTCACTAACTGGTTATTTTATTCAAATCCATTTTGGGTATGAAAAGAAAGCCTCTCTTAGTGTCTACAAGGTAAAAAGAATTAAACAACAACAATATCTGTGATAAAGTCAAAAGTATATTTCAAAATACTGAAATCTTTGTTTTTATGTTAAAAGTTTTTTCAATTTATAATTAAAACAAGAAAATTAAACTTTTCCTTGCATTTATCATTATCCTTGCTTATAAAACATATTTTTAAAAATATTTATTATAATAAAATTTTTTTATCAACTGGAATACATTTATAGATTAAATTTATTGAAATCTAGTAATTTATTGAAAAAGTATTATTTGGTAATGCATAGAGAAATTTAATAGCAATCTGATGAAATTTTTGTGTTCTTTTTAAAATTTTGATCTGACAATACTTCAGCAGAATAAATATAAATAAACACTATTATATCACAATTATAGTAACAAATTGTAATAAGCATGTAAGAATGGAGCATATATTTAGAAAAATCATATACAAAATTATTTGAAACACTAAAATGCTTGTCTAAATTCATTTCTTACCTCAATGCTAGATTCTGATAAGCCAGTAATTCCACGGTAAAAAGAAATTAATGTGCAAGGTAAAGTAAATGCTACTGTTAGAATAATATACCATGGCAATGAAGAAAGGTACAAAGGATTATCTGAAAATAATTATGTGTATTTATAAGTTTAAAATATTTTATTTTAAAAAATAAATAAATAAATTTCAATTAAATAATGAATAAAAATTTTAAAAATAAATAACAACAATTAAAACAATTTATTTCCGATCAAGACTGTGGAGTCAGAGTTGGAGTCGGAAGCAAATTTAAGTGAAGTCAAAGTCAGTAAAAATATACTGAGTCTGACCAAACTATAGACTTATACTTAAAAACAGGTTATAAATCTAAAATATGACTCAATGAATTTTGTGGCAATGAAATGTTTTATGATACAATTTTACAATTATTACCCTTTACAATTTTAGTAGGTTCACCATTATTAAAAAAGGCATCAGAAGTCAAAGATTTAAAAACTGAGGTACCAGAATTACAGTCAGTGATTTTATGTACCAATTACATGGATCATAGTCATGGATCAAACTTTTAGTTTTAAACTTAACTAAAAAATAAATTATCTAGAGATTGCAACATTGCACATAAACACACAACAAAATTTTTTAATCAATAGCATAGTAATAGTGATTGATAACTAATTTGTTAACAAGAAAATCAGCATATTTAGATTATATGGCTGAGCACAATTAAGCCCATTACACAAGTTGAACTAACAGGTGAGTCCAACTTGTAGCTGAGTTGACCAATATAGGTGAATAATGGAAAACAACATACTCTTATTATTCATGTTAAATTATGAAGTGTGGATTGAGCTTGAATTAAATCCCTGTCATAACAGCCAGCTAAAATGACATCTTACCATATGACTGATTAATACATAAAACTTTTTAACTTTCAAATTTTATATTGTAGACTGAAAGAAAAACACTTTTTATTTTAATCAAGACTTATTTTTCAATTGAGTCAAATAAAATTAATGCACAACAAGCTGAAATTAAAATAATTCATAAATTATCTGAATAGCATTTTTTTAAAACAAAGTTTGTTTTTATCATCAAATTAAAATCTTTTTTGAAAATAAATATTAGAAAAATTATGCAAAAAATATTGAAAAATTGTTAAAAAACAATACAAATGTTAACTTACTATCATTTAATAAGAATATCAAACTGTTATTAATGCAAATGATTGAATGATAAAGTTTAAATAATAATTTATAAACAATTAACCAAAATTTTGTTTTTAATAAAACTTACCTGGAAATGAAACAATTGGACTAATTTTATTCTGTGGCAAGAGATTAAACAGATTAAGCTGTTGGGGAGGTCGTAATTTAATTTCAGTGCTTAGATTAGACAAATCAATTCTTGTAGTCAGTGAGCGAGGACTATTGTATTTTAATCTTGTCTTATGAATGAAGCTATCTTTAAAAACAAATAAATAATCTTAAATAAAAAAGAATAAAATACAAAATACGATTGTATAGAATAATAGTCTGCTCATATTTGATATAAAAATTATAATGGATAACAGTTATACTGAATTTATGATATCTAGAGTCAATATACAGTAGATTCGTGATTATCCAGGATCACACTAACTAGGAAGTGAATTAATCAGGATGCCAAAAATGCCCATGGGTAAGTCATTAAGTCATCAAAAATAGTTTTATGACTCCTCTGCTTTGCAAGTACTGGCCAGGGGAGTATGAAATAATACATTTGCTGAACTGTTCAGTCTATTATGAGTAACTATGTGAAGCAATCGTATGTGTTGTTCTCTTCACATTTCTTTGAAAATTTACTTGTTCCATTTACTAGGTACAAAATTTAAATACTACTAAATTAATCAGGATGACTTTTCCCATTCATCCTGGATAGTTGAGAGTCTATTGTATATATACAATATATATACATAATGATTGTTTTAATAGTATGCAACATGAATAAAAGTGAAATAAAATAACAATGAATCTATATATATAACTGAGATGGGTTGATAATGATAATAATAATAATAAGCACAGAGCCCAAACGGTTAGGAGTTGAAAGTTGAAATTTGGTACACAGTTACGGTACGTCACGAAAACACACACTAAGAAGGGATTTTTCAAAATCCCCCCCAGGAGAGAGACAGGATTAAGGTTTCAACAATGGAAGTATCAACAATGGAAGTGTCAACAATGGAAGTGTTAAGAGAAAGCAATGTGCAAGATTTACAGGTACAGATGCAGTTTTTTCGTTTTTGTGGGAAATTGAACATTTTTTTAACCCATCTAAAAATTCTCTAATTAGTCTGGAATTAGTGGGGCCTAATTCTTGCATTCTTTGAAAATGGGTAATATTGACTATAACGTAATAATCTTAATCTTTGCTATCATTACTTTTTGCCCAAACATCGCTGGGCCTATCTACCTAGCAAGTGCATTTAACTTTTTGTGTGAATAATTTTAATTATTTACTATTTATTAAGAGAATTCTTAGCACTCTTTCTCATTTAGTGCCTGGCATATATGATCCACTTGGCCCCTTCCATGTTACACCTCTAATATATAATTATTATCATAATGCTTCAGAAGTTTCCAAACTATTTGAAACTCAAATTACAAGAAAATTATGCTTTATTGGAATAAATTCCTTAAATATTTAATAAACCAAATGCAATAAAGCACCCCAATAAAACAATTTATAATTTCTTATTTTAGAAAGATTTTCAATCCTTTATAGTTTTTAATTATAAAAGATTAGAAAATAATGGACTTCAGTGAGATAAAGCAAAACAATAATCCCTAAAATATAATAGAATGATTATTTTTGATGAGATCTTGTATCTAAAATTGTGCTGCTGTCAATGGCTGCACATCTTAGAGGCACATATTAAATCTGCCAATTCCAAGATCTGCTTGTGGTATTGGCAGATTTAATTTGCCACACATCTTTCTTTCAATTTGAAGATAATACTTACCTGCAAGCAAGGGGCGTACTGATGGGTAGCCCCATGTCAGCTATACTCTGCGAATTAGTGTTGCGTAAACTCGAAAGCCAAATACTCCCCTCGTTCTGGGAAGACACATTGTCCTACGCAAGATATGTTGATGATATCTTTATTTTGTGGAAAGATAATCGCAGAGTTAGCCAGTTTATAGAACGGATCAACGACAACCTATATGGATTAACTCTGGAGCTGGAGCAGGAAAATGGGAGCAATGTTAGTTTTTTGGATGTATCTATAACTTGCAAGGAAGGGAAAATCAGAACAGATATATACTGGAAACCAAGTTATCTTCCTATTATTGTTCCTAGGAACTCCACAGACCCTGATCATATAAAAATGGCAGTTTTTCGTTCTTGAATAAGGAGGGCGTGCACGCATTGCACCAGCATCTGCGACACTTACAAATAATTGGAATATATCCGAAACATAGCGATGCAGCAGGGATACCGTGGAGAAAGAATAGATGCTCTCATTGTGAATTGTCAGAAACGGCACCCTACGCAGGGAGGGAATCAGCAGAAAGAAAAACTCATGCTCAATTACATACCGTTCCTCAAAGGAATGGTTAAGAAAGTTACCAGAAATAAGAATATACAGATATATTCTTTGTACATAGTCTAAAACTTCAATTATGAAGAATATATCCTGAGTTATTACAGAAATTGTGTTAATATACAGATAGTTTACAGGCATAATCCCACCATGTATAGGCTCTTAAGGAACGATAAAGGCAGTTACGAATGCAATGAGATGGCAGGGGTATACTCTATACCGTTAAAGGACTGTAGATTTAACTCCAATTTGGTATACATAGGAGCGACCATGAGAAACTTAAAGAAAATAATTGTTGAACATAAGCACTTGGTGAATAAAAACACACTCTACGGTGCTTGCTGCTTTTGCCAAACAGCAGAATATTGAGGTCTTCTGGGATTAGGCGTCGATCATTAAGGCTACAAGATCAAGGCAGGCCGTGAAACATCTGGAAAAACTAGAAATTCACAAGGCGCAGTTGCACACAAACTGTATTAATCATAGAGATGCCAATGGATTGTCTTCAGCGTGGAAATCCTTCTATGATGAGTTGACCTAGTTTATATAAGCGGGAAAGTTAATTAAGATAATTTTTACTGGATGTATATATTTTATTTTAGTTCTTTATTTCGTTTTAATTAACTTGTATAATCTTTACAATTATTTAAGCTTGTTAAATCTTAACATAAATTTGTATAACCGCTTTTTGAATTATTATTTTATGTAATTTTGAATTCTTCGTTTGATTCAAAATGATAACTGAGGATGATCGCTTAAAGCGTTCGAAAGCATTTTTAAGATATTAAAAAAACAATTTGCTGGATTGTTTAAAGCAGGGGTCTTCAACCTTTTACACTTTTAGGAACCCTTCAAGCTCATGGCTTTCTTGAAGGAACCTCATGTTTAAGTAGCAGATAAAATAGTTTATCAAAGCTTTTTTCTACTCAAATTTGCAAAATTATTCTTGTATCTTTATTTAATCTTAATAAGACAATGAATAGTGAGGTAGTGAATCAGGTTTTACTTTATTTATTTTCTAGAATACATTTTATGAATAATTAACAAAAGGAACAATATTTTACATTTTATATTATATTATAACAGATTAATAAAAATAAAATTCTTTTAATGACTTGACTGTGCTTGTATTTTATCGCAGAGTATTTTTACATCGAGAATAATTGTTGAAATCTGCAACTTAATGTCATCTCCAGCATCCAATCTGTTTCTGTATTTTGTTTTTGTGGCAGCATACAAAGAGAAAGATTTTTTGCATATATAGATTGATACAAATGACATTAGATGTTTCACAGCTCTTTTGGCAATTTCAGGATATTCATTCCTAATGTCAATCCAAAAGTGCATAATATTAATTTGATTAAATTTTAGTTTCAATTGAGTATCAGTTGATATATAAATTGTAGTTCTCTTTCTTTTATTGGGAGTTCAGAGGTGTCACAGTCTTGAAAAGGATTTTGAATCCAAGATAATTTTTGTTTTTGAACAGGAAAACATTCACGAAATGTTTTTTGCAGATCGTATAAATGTTGGACCAAATTATTTTTTACATTTTTATCGAGATTGGCGTTACTATCTACTAAAATATTGTGCAAATTAGGAAAGCATTCAATATTTCTTTTCAAAATGCAATCTACCCAAAATTTCAATTTTAAAAAAGTAGCATCAATTTTACTTTGTACCTTGAAAATATTGATATTTGTTCCTTGGAGCAATGTGTTGAGCTCATTTAAATAGGTAAAAATATCTGCTAGATATACCATTTTCTGAATTCAAACTGCATCATTTGACTTTTTAGCTAATTGAGGTGCATGTTCAGATAAGAAAATTCTTATTTCATCTTTTAATTCGCAAAATCTTGCTAACACTTTTCCACAAGATAACCAACGGACGTCTGTGTGCAACAGTAGTGTTTTATATAAACTTCTCATATTTTCACACAATAAATTGAAAACTCTTGAATTTAATGGCCTTGATTTGATAAAATATTTTAACACAATCATTAAGTACGTTTTTTAGCTCTTCTGGCATTTTCATCACTGCAAGAGCTTGTCAATGAAGACAACAATGAGTACTTCTCATGTGAGGATTTTTTTTGTTTCATGCGTGCAACTATGCCGTTCAATTTACCAAGCATTGCCTTGGCTCCATCGGTACATACTTGATGACATAAATCCCAAGATATATATGAATCTATCGAATTAAAAATTTCTTCCACTATTGTTCTGGTTGGCAGACTTTTGCAAATTAGCATATCTTCTTGAGTAGCCATTCCATGGATATATCTCACAATAACAAGCAAAATCACTAATCCAGCTATATCTGTAGTTTTGTCAAGTTGAATAGTACATCCATGTTCAGAAGCTTGCAAATGTCTTATGAGCTCATTTTCACAAAAATTAGACATATCTTTAACACACCTTGAAACTGTAGTATCCAAAAGGGGGATACAATCAACTAATGTAGCATGTTCTTCCCCATCTTTTACACATGGCTTAATTAAGTTTTCTATATAAGCTTCACCCTGTTGAGCAATACAATAACTGACACGATACAATACTCTCAAAGCATTATCATTATTGTTTTTAACAAAAGATCATAAAGATATTTTTTCTATTCTTCAACTCATTACATTTTCTTTTAAAATACTCAACATTTTTATTTTGTAAAGTTGGATGATTTGTTTCCAAATGTCTTTTCAATTTTGCGGGATTTAAACTGCTGTTGTACATCACACGTTCACATTCAACGCATAACCATTTTGGTTCATTTTCATGACCAATCCACGTAAAACCAAATTTTATGTATTCTTCATTATACTTCCACTTTTTACAAATGGGTAACTCTGAATCACCAGACAACTTTTTGGTACTAACATCTGGTTCATTTTCAACAGTACTAGCAAAACTAATTCCTGCATCCGTGGAATGAAGCTTTCCAGTTTTCAACCACATATCCATTATTGCTACGATAGTCTAATTAAATTGTAAATACATAATAAAAGTTATCAATTATGATATAAAAACAAAATAAATACTCACTTGTACGTGATTGTATTTAACAGACAGAATGAGATTAACAGAACTAATATGTGACGTCATGCGTCTTGATTGGTGTATTTGAAGCATGTGACTTTTACCAAATTTCAAGATTTTATTTTATCCATAAAATATTTATATTTACTTTTTAAAATCAACTGCCACTTTATATCTAATTTATATTAATATTGTAATTTTTACTTAAATATTATATTAATCTAATATTTTAATAAGACAGTACACTACCCCGTTCCTACATGAAAGATTTCCATTTTACGTGCATTTTGGCTGAGCAAATAGTGATCACTTGCGGAACCCCTGTCAACATTCTAGGGAACACTAGGGTTCTGCGGAACCCAGGTTGAATACCCCTGGTTTAATGGTTTTGTTTTTTACTTATAGTAGTTCCAGTAGGAAAGTATTTATTTCTTTAAAATATAATTGCTGTCCTGGCTGTTTTACAAGCTTTTTTCAAGTTTTTATTAATATTTATTGAGAATTAGTTTGAAGACTGAATCAGGGGTTTATTTGCAAATATAGTGGTCCATTGACTGAGTCAATATGCAATGTTTTTAACTCTAACTCAAATAGGCCTTTCTCTGGAAGGATGTTGAGAGGATACAAACAACAGATCATTTTGATTAAAGGCTAATTTCAATTTCATCAAACCTTTTACACTGTTTACTAGAAGATAGCCCTTCTATGAATGCAGTGAGGTTTTAAGTAAATTGTATGGATTTAGTGATTTCTTTCATTTAGGAGTCTAGAAGGAGATACTAGTCCTTCTTTATCAGTATTAATTAGGATGATTAGAAATAGATTTTCTGAAGATTGTTTGGATTGAAAATGATTCCAAAGTATAACTGACAATTAACTTTTACCATCCTGCTCCCTCTATCTGATTTTTTTCTGCCTTAAACATTCCTATTGCTCTCCATGTCATTTTTTTCACTCACTTGATATCTTCAAACCATTGTCTAAAGCAGTGTTTCTCAACAGGGTGATATCGCCCCCATGTGGGCGTTTTTCCATGTTCAAGGGGCGATTAGTAACAATTTATATTTTGGGAGCAAAAAAACAATTTTCTGGGCAATATAGTAAAACATTATATTAACAATAATTAGATATTTTATTCATTATATTGTACAATAATTAAACAAATAACATTATACTAGTCACTAGTCTATTCAATGCAGTAAAAATTTGGCATTAGCCTTGGCCCTCGGAATTGGAGTTTTGAAGTGAAGGGGGCGATACTACGTAATGGTTTTATTGAAGGGGGTGACAATTCGTTAGAGGTTGAGAAACACTGGTCTAAACGCTCACTATCTTGAATATTGTACAAAAAGACTCTTAATGAAGCAACCATAAAAGTGAGATCCTTTTTATATTGAAACAGTTTTTCACACAGAACTGCATTTTATGCAAATTTAACTTTAGATTTTAACTCAGCATGAATTATTATATGAAATATTTTACTTTTGTGCATTCATTTCACTTATCTAAATATGTAAACTTTTAACAATTTTAAACATATGCAAAATATTTAAAACTTAATTTAAATTATTAAAAAGTAATTAAAACTTACCAAATTCAATGAAAGCATAAGGTCTTATTATGGAATTCAAACTGCTCGTATCATATGTAGTAATGAATTCTCTCATTAATTCATCAAGAAAACTGAAGGCTAGAACTGGAGGATAAGTGGATTCACATAAAGCCATAAAACTAATACCCAATGAGCTAATAATACTAAAATAAAAAAATTATAAATAAAATTTTACAGACTATAGATATTATGAGGGCTGTTCCAAAAATATGCAACTGGCAATACTGCTTTGTCGTTAATGCGGTGAGTTTGGATTCCAAGGATGTTCCTCCACCTTTTCTTAGTTTATACAAATTTACCATGTAATTTCTTTTTGAATTTATTATAATATTCTATGTGAAGTGGATTTTATGATGACAGATGATAAAGATTTTACATTAATTATTAAACAAAGGATCATCATTAAATTTTGCATTAAAAGTTATTCAAAAATGGTCAGAATGCATTTGAGATGATTCAAAGAAGCAATGGTGAAAAAACCTTGGGCAGAACAATCCTATTTAAATGGTAAAAGTATTTTCAGAATAGAAAAAATGTACAACATAAAGAAGCAGGTGTCCATTAACCTTGGTGAACAATGAAAATGCTAAAAAAGAAAAAACATTACTAAAAGAATATAAAGTTCTATCAATTCATGATCTGGCAGTTCAGGTAAATGTTGGTGTAGCAAGATGTCACAAAATATAAAGATGTACCTTAACATGTCATGTGTTTGTATAAGATGGATACAGTGCAATTTTAATACAAAACAAAAAGAATTCCACGTTCAATTTTGTCAAGCCTTTGTTATCAAAGAGGAGTAAGACCTCAACTTTTTGAATATATTCTATTTCTATTAATAGTTAAAATGTTTCTAATTTAAAACAATCAGATAGTTATTGCTCAATCAATATTGTACATAGTGTTGCTATCAGGCCAGTTTTAAATTCATGGTCCAGATTTATTATTAATTTGTCTGGTTTTCGTAGAAATTGTGTGAAATTAAGATGAAACAAAATAAATTTTAAAATATTTGTGAGTATTTTATTTTAACAGTTAAAGACTAACTTCACAACCCCACCCAAACTCATCCCTAGGCTAAGAGTGACAAAAAATATACTTTTAAAATTCTAACTTGCAAATATCTCTGGCAAATACAATATTAGGTTTTATAGGCTATAAAATGACATCGTGCATGCCTCATACAGTTTCAAATTCAAACCAGTCAAGGACTTGTGTTGGAATAAACCTATTGTAAAGTGAACATGACAATTTTACAAGTTTATAATTTCCATTTTAATTATTTAATATGACAACTCAAGAAATTGAAAACCCAAAAAGAGGAAGCAAACTTGTAAATTTAATAAAGATTGGCTGACACAAAACGAATTTCAAAAATGGTTATGACCTGTCTGAGAATCTAATGAAATAGCTAGGTGTTATGTTTGCAATACTACATTTAATGTAAAGTGGGATGGCATAAAAGCTGTGAAATCTCACATGGAAGCAAATACTCATAAGCAAAAAATATGTTTACTTGCTCATAACTTCAATCTGATCCAATTTTTTCAACAGAAAAGAAATTTAATGATCAGGTAACAGCAGCAGAATTTACACACGTTTATCATGGTGTAAACTGTAAAGTCACATCACAGTTATTTATCCAAAGATTGTGGAAGTAAAGTTAGCAATTCCATATTTCCTGACTCAATGATTTGTAAAAATATAAGACTTGGGCATACAAAAATTGAATCTATTGTGCAAAACATATTAGCTCCCTATGCTCTTGAATTAATTATATCTGTTGCAAAGCATTTGCCATTTATTGTTGCCACAGATGCTTCAAATAAAGGTAATAAAAAAATTTAAAATGTCCAGGTCAGCAATTTTGAAAAGGTGGCAACACTGATTGTACATGTGTGATACAAAGGTTGCTATTCCTACATTTTATTTTAAATTTTCACATAATTCCACAAAATAAAATAATAACCAACAAAACACTTCATATCATGCTCGCTGGACTACACTTTTACTTTGTCAGGTTTTCCTACTATGCTCTATTTTCCAAATACTTGGTATATATGATAGAACATATCAAAAATAAAGAGAAAAAGTATTGAAACACATGAACATAATGCAAGAGATGAATTTGGCAGACAACAGATAGCATTTACACAGCGGGTGAATTTCTTCACTGTGCATACAAACAGAAGCATCATTAAAACTCCAAGTCAAATTTCTCACAAATTTAGCATTCAAACTCTGGAGCATTCAATGTTAAAGTTGTTTGAAGTTGCAAGAATCATTATAAATGTTTCTTAGGCAGTGTATATGTTGCCAGATAATTATAATTAAGGTGTTATAAGCATGGATTGCATTTGGTATTTCTAATGTTTTGTACAAAAGAAAGTGAAACTATTTGCATTTTTGATGATGGGAAAAAAGGCTCTAAGTGGATTGATGCTTTCATTAATAAGTTACTTCTGTGCCTTACATCTTTTCTGCCCCCCTTTTCACCATGTTGGTATGTCTGGCTCGGTGGCATGCCCCTAGGTAAAACCTGGAGTGTGTTGAGGTTTGAGGTTATACGTGTTAAAAAGGAAGTGTAATCGGGGTGGGAGATTATTCTGGCAATTCAGCCACAAGATGGAGACCAAGAAAGAAGAGAAGAGAGCAAACTGTGGTGATTGATGAATAGTAGTGTGTGAAGGTAAGTGAGTCATGAAGCCACTAAAGGAAAAAGCTGTGCAACAAGGTCAAGGTGAGGATTCTGTTTTGAACTGTCTTACATCAGGTATAAAGTAGACAATAACGCATAAATAGTATTGTTGGTTAGTTTACGTCCGCATGTTACAAAAATTTATTAACAGTCTATTGTCGGGTTTATTGTGTGTTACTGTTAATTGGAAATTTGGAATTGTCGGGGTGCATGTGTTCCAGTAGTTTCACTGGAAGCACTGTATGTTCTTGGGCAAATTAAATTGCTATCCGATTATTCTTTTGGTTTGTTGTCTTTGTCTCAATCCTACTGAGATCAATGGATTTCCCCATATAAGTGTCTGCTACATTTTGCACACTTGTACATTTGGCACTTTACTTTGGCCCATTGAAGAAATCATCAAAATTCTTCTCCACATCGACTCATTCGTTCCTTTTATTCTCACACTTTCTCCTCAATAAGTTTACATAAAAATATTTCTGTTTTTTGACGTTGAAAGTAAAAAAGAAGAATCAAGTGATTTTTTTTAATATGATGATCAAGATGTTGACAGTGTAGTGGTACAGTATAAGTGTGGTGACTATAGCTGATAAATTGTTAGATTGAACTTAGTGAAATAATCCCAACAATTGAATAGTGAATAGAAAATACTTCAACAAGTAAATAGAAAATATTTCTTCAGAAAGTAATCTAAAAATCAGTAGCATTACTGAGAAAGCAAGAATGGTTCTCAGTGAATTTCATAGCTCTCCTACAAAGAATGACATTCTACAGAAATGTCATATAAGAACATAACCATGTATTGCAACTAGTTCATTATACTAAATGAGGAAACAGTTTAGTCAAAATGTTGGATTTTTGCTCCTCAAGAGCTGCATTGCAAAGGCAATGATAGATGTAAAAAACAAAATCAATAACTCGCCAAAACTGGAATATATTATTTAAGAACAGACAAAACACCTGAATTAGCATATATTAATTGAAATTAGCACTTTTACAAATGTTTTCATCTGTTTATAACAGATATCTCCAAGGTACATATAATGCAGAACTAAACAAACAAAATAAAATCGAATATGCTTTTAGAAACAAATTACAAATTTAGTTTAAATTCATTTTTTAACCTTTAAAATATAAATGCCAACTCTAAATTTTCATTTATGTATGTATGTATAGTGATATATATATATATATACATATACACAAACACACACAAACATATATACACATATACAAAAACCTGCATTGGAACTATTGAAGATGTAAGACAAAGAAAGAAAAACTTTTACACAAGTTCAAAGTGTGCTACACTGGATAGTGTTTCCGTTTTTTTGAAATTAATTTCTACTCTGTTCTTATACATTTCAATGGCCTCCAGGTATTTAAGGTGTGCCTATCAAAAACTGTGTGTAGCAATTGTTCTGAAGTAACATATTTCCTCACTTGTGGCATAAGTGGCTAAGGTCATGTATGAAAGTTTCTTTCTGATTGTATATTAATGTTCTTTCATTCTCATAGTGAGACCCCTTGAAGTTGCACCAATATATAATAATGTGTGCTTAATTCTGCCATAATTGACATTATCATATATTGGTGTGACTGTAACTTAAATAACTCTTAATTCAATTTCAGAGAAACCAGATCCATTTCTAACTTCACCTTCATCAAAAACTTCAATACAAGGCCACAAAGAAATTGTTTGAGAGAAATTTTAGCTTTTTGTCTGCTCCAGTCCAACTTCCAGTCTTCATTCAGGATTTACAGCAAAGTCAACATTCCCAACATATCAAAAGAAAAATCCTTTCCAGAAGAGTAAATGCTGCCATAAATGAGGCTATTAAAAGCTACAATCAACAGAGAATTGAATCATCTTATGATGCAAAAAATACTTGTAAAAGAATGAACTTGTGAAAAATTACTAGCTGTAAAAGAGAGAACTTGAACCAACTCTTTCTTTCCCTCAGTTCTATCCAAGAACTTCAATTGAGATATAGAGAACTTTTTGCAGTGAACTTTTGTTTCAAAATTACAATCTCAATTGTGTGACAGTAAATCAACAATATATATTTCTTGAGGCAATACTAAAATCTAGTTTAAATTTTTTTGTTTTTGGAAACTTTATAAAAGGTTTTATTTATTTATTGCATCTTTAAAAAAAGAGACTTTTATTTTTGTTTTCAATAAAAATTAGTAAAGAGCTAAAATGTAATTCTTTGTTTTTACTAATTGGTGACTGGTTTTCTTTCAGGTACATTAAACTTAAATTAACATTAAACAGATTAAAAATAAAACTGTAATTTGATCCCAGGAATCCTGGGATTTATCATTCTACTTCCTGCTTTCCAGTGAATGGCAACTGCCAGGAAATTCAACAACCCTAGAGACAAGTCCTAAATTAAACATTTTGATTCCAAGTCAAACAGCAGTCAAGCATTTGGACATACCATGATTCATCACATTCAAAAAATCTCAAGTGTTGGTTCATCAAAAAAATTTGATGATTTTGTTTTTAATGCCTATGAAATAATACTGCAACACTGGGTCCCAAAAACAAACTCTAACCCTCGTATTTACCAACACAAGTTAGAGTTAGAGTTAAAAGTTAATCAATGAGTGTTCACATACTAAAAGTAAAGCAAATGGTGTTTGGTTAACTTGAGATTTAACCCTAACTCTAACCCCACCTCGTGTTGGTGAATACAGGGATGAATGGAGAATGGATTAAGCTAACATGATGCAACTTTATTTCAAAGGAATAATACACAAAAAAGACCAGACCTGCTTAATCAAGAATGATTCCTTCTTCAAGATAATGCTGGAGCGCATATTACAAAATTAAGAATGCAAACTCTAGTGAAAATTAGTGGTCAACTACTATACCATCATCCTTACAGCTCAGACCTTGTATCATGCAATCTTTCAGATTTTCCAAGTTTAAAAAAGTATTCAGAGAAAAAAAGATTTAACACAAATAAAGTTAAATCTGCTACTTTCTTCTAACTTGCAATATCTTTCAGAAAATGGGCTGCGGTAATTGTTTCAGGAGCTGGTGGACCACTGTAAAAGATGTATAGAATGTGAAGGATGCCATTTCAAAAAGGAGATTGATACTTCGAAACCTCTTAGAGAACCTTCTTAAATAAATTTCTAGTAAGAGGTTTTGAATTATACTTTCACTCCAGTCTGAGGAACTCTGAGTAGAACATTAAAGGAGATTGATACCAATCTCCCAAGTAACTCAGAACAATGATCTCAGTCCATGCATTTTTGGAACAGCCCTCATATGTAATAAATTACTCTTTCTTACTGAATTAAATGTGGATTTAAATTAATTGTGCATCTATCTTCTAAGCGAGAAATATGCCGAGAAACCAACTTTATCTGCATTCTGACTTCTTTGATGTCTTTATCCATTTGACCACAGACATCTGTTGATGCTGAGAGAGGCAGACCATCATCAGTCCGAACAATCATTGCAAAGATAATCATTTTGGATTGAAGTATTTCTTATTACAATATTGACATCAGAAATCACTAGAATATATTTAAATTAAATTCTTATTATTAAGTTTTATTGTTATTTTCATTTATATAACATGAATAATGTTAAAAAAAACAAATAAAAAGCAGTCTTATTATTTGATTAGTAAAATTTACTCTAAATGATATATCATTTACATATCATTTGCATAAATGCTTAAACAATATCCTTGAAATTGATTAAAAACCAAAAATTCAAGCTCAGTTACAAAATCAAAACTGTAACTGGCAGAGTATAGTTATAACAATTGCTAGAAATTAATTAATTAATTTATTTATTTATTACGAAATGCTTGTTTTTATTTTGGAAAATTTTATGGTTATGGTTCTTATCATAGTTTAAAAAAAAGTACAAATATTTAATTAATTAATTAAATTTAATTAAATTTTTCAGGGTCTTAAACAGGTCTTTTCATCTTTTTTTTGTAAATTTATGTAAATCAGTAACAGGATACTTTAGAATTCCAGATTCCAGCATCAATTTTAGGCATAAAATAAATATTATCAGCTTATGTTTATTTCAAATTAAGAAAATCTTATGAAGAGGAAAAGTTCAACAAATTTTAAATTTTCTTCTCTGTTCAATTTTTCTTAACTCATAATTTTTGGAAAATCAAATATAGAATAATAAAATATTAAACTAGAAAATCAAACAAAACAAATTTTACAACAAAAATATCAGTTAAATTTATTATTAGATTTTACCATAAACATAGGAGAGAATATATTCATCAGTTATTACCATATAAAATATTTATATTCTATTTTTCAACTGGTTCAATCATCAGGAAAACATTCTTCACAAAGAAGAGGCACCATAAGATGAATCTTTGCTAAACATATTTCAAATAATACAGAACTCACTCAATCATTAAAATTATAAACAAGCTTCTGGTAGGGAGTCAATCTTTCAAGAGACTTCTACTACAGATTTAAAGCTAAATATGTTATATCTGAAAAGATATAATGAAAAACCAAAATCATATATACTTATCAATAAAGACAATCCATATTAAAGTCTTTCTATTTCATATTTAAATTATATTATTATCTTAATCTTAAACTTTAATACAGATATATTTTTAGTAACTTTACGCATTTATGGTAAAAATTATTTCACCTATAGAATGTGCATTCCCATTCCATACCATTTATCTCCCTTTACTCTGATGCCGTGTACTGTACATACAATCTGTGACCAGATCCAGATATATGCTATGAAGTTCCTCCTAGCCACCTTCCTTGAGAATCCTTCAGCCCACTTTACCACTTAATTTGGGTGGTACCAGGGATTGTGACAGGAATATCAACAGTCCTTCATTTCATGAGCCATGAGGCACTGACTTTGATGTCAGTGCCTCAGAGAAACACTGACATCAAAATGTCTACATCTATCATCAAGACCAGATTTCAGATTTTTCTTCATAAATTGAGAACTAGATCCACGTAAACTCAATCCTGATGGATAGAAAAATTTCTCTGCACATACTGGTAGTCCAGTTTCATCATATTGTTGAAAGGAAATAGCTGAACTGGCTCCTCATTGGAACCAATGCTGTGAAATCATCAATCTGTTTGGCAATGGGAGTTGTCATTCCAGCTGCAAACATATACAAAGTCCTGCATGTTGATCCTTGGTATAGTGATTATATAGTAGAGGTACTGGGCATCTTCAGAATGCTCCAGTTGGGAGAATTTCATCACCACCCGATTGTCATCATTACCAACAGCCAGTTGGTACTCTTGGCCTTATTCAGTTTCTCTTTCATCTCCTCCTCTCTAATTGATATTACTACTTGGATTGCCACATATATCTATCTTAACTAGCTTTAGTTTGGATACCAGGACACTGTGGAAGTTCAATCAATGAGGTGGCAGACAAAGCAGCCTGCTACCTTGTACAGTATATTGTTGTCTTGGCCTTTCAATTCCTACACAGTTCTCTTGGGCTTTCCCTCCCTTTGCCTGTTTATTCAGAATGAGACAAGACCCTTTGTAGGCTCAACTATAATAGTCAGCTTATTCCTAGACCATATTTTTTGGTCATTTGTCTTTATTGAAAGACATGTTGAAGGAACACTTGATGAATTCTGAAAAAATGCTACCTCATGAATCTCTCTTTGACTAATCATATCTTCAACAACCATACTTTTATTTGTTTTTCATCTTCAAAGAATCTCATTTTCTTGTAGAATAACACAACCAAAATATTGAATTAAGAAAAGCTGTTAAGGTTTGTTAAATATCTTTTTATTTTCCAAAGAATGATATAGACATTTTAGTAGACAGAAAGATATTTATAGATATAATTATGTATCATGCACTACATTTAAATAAAAACAGATTAAGACTGTGAACAAAATTAACTAACTCTAATTGATACAGCATAAATGATCTATGATTATATGCTGCATAAATTGTAATATTTTTGGAAATGTCTGTTTTTGATTATTCATTCAGCAATAACAAGTAATGTAGTTTAAATAATTAATTACTTGTAATATGAATTTAATTTTAACAAAAAATTTTTAAAATAGGGAAATTTATTTTATTTAATACAGTAAATAAAAAAAAGAAACAACATATAAAAGGAAATATAAAATAAGTCTAAAAGTATTTTTTTGAAAAATAAATATAAGATGCTTAACAGAATTTATTAATATTTGTATGCAAAGAATCATAAAGTTAAGAAACATTAAGTTAAACACAACAATGAGTCTTTATTTTGTTAAATTTTGAAGAATAATTAAATAATTAAAAAAATGTAATAGTAGTAAGGAAATACACCATGTAGGAAAAATTTCCATATTTTGTGCATGTTATTTAGTTCCAGATATCATCAGTATAAAGGGAGAATCTAAATATTAATTGAAAGAGGATTTCACTTGAGTAAACAACATAGGTTAAAAATATGATTCAGGTATCAATTTAACCCCATTTTTCTCATATTATTGATTATCACATTATGACAAAACCCTCCTGACAAATGATGTCACATTGATTGTCACCCTTGACAAAGCCTTATTATGAAGTAAATAGTGTCTCAATTACACAATGAATATTACCATATAATGATTTATTTACACTTTTACCAAAATGAAACACTACATGACAAAAACATTACTTTAGTCAAAATTTCATTTTTACACATTTTTCTAGTAAGTTATTTCATTCTCATTAATTTGTAAATTGTTCTTCAATCGATCAATGGAAATTTTGGAGGCATCTATGTCCATAGGAATGATTTGTCCTGTCACGTCTACTTTATCAACATCCATCTACTCAGTTACATATCTGCTTAATTTCAGTAGCTGAAAATGGTTTCAAGAAAGCAAAAATGCTTCTGAAAAATAAATATTTTTTGATTGTCTTTAATAAGCAGTACAATCATAAATTTTAATATATTTGTTGTACTGAATCTAATGAAATTTTTTAAATTACTGGTAATTTATTTAAAGAGGTAAGGGAAGGACCCAGTCTCCTTGGTTATGCTACTATACCTAAATTGGAAATTCAGAAATTTCATGGTTGTTGTGATCTAGATATGCAAGGCTTTTTTTTAAAGAGATTAATAATAAAATATATGAAGTGATCAATTTGATAACGAGCGTTCCCAACTCATTAAAGCTATATAACTAATCATAATTTCATTCATTACGTATAAGCCCAACCGGTAAAAAAAATAGACACGCACGGACGAACGATCGAGTAAAACGGCAACACTATCCACAATAAATTACCGAAGTCTGTCTTGGATTCAAATCCAGTTTCTCAAAATGTAAACTATTGTATCAGATATATCTATATGTATCTAGCAGATATAAAATGCAAAAAAAAAAAACTAAAAAATCATAACTAATAATAATAAGTTGCTTCATTAGAGCTCACTTAAATTGTTAAAAATACAATCAATGATTTAAAATAGAGAGAATAAAAGGAAAATAAAATATAATGTAAAGAAATAAAATATCAAAAATAAACTAATTTCACTTATATCTCATTTTCCTCTGGAATTATATCACAAACATAACATAAAAGATGATTTTATACGTACTTAAATTAATCTTATTATTTTTATTTTATTTCTATTTTAAAAATGAATGAACTCGTTAATTGGACAGCAATTAAGATTCCAATTAGAGTAATACAAATATAAACATCAACCGAAACCCGATGCATAGCAAATACACACCTGCAATTGCCGTAAATAATCGTGCTATATTTTGGAAATAATAATTATGAATTATAAATAAATTTGGCACTATTATTTCCAAAATATAGCCCGATTATTTACAGCAATTGCAGGTGTGTATTTAAGTATAGTAATGGATATCGACTCAAAATTTTCCAAATTTGAACTTTTTAAATACTAAAATATCTGTAATTTACATCATAATATTTCTAACTTACATAATATAAATAAAACCTTCACAGAACTGAATATTTTAACTTTATATATTACTAGTAAGAGATTCTGAAATATTAAATTTTATGAAATGAAACGAGATTCTTTAAAGTTATGCAAAAATTCTTATCATGTTTATATTTCCTACAGATATATACTTATATTATATTTACCTATCTATTTATTTAACTGTATTACATTATGGTTATAATATATTCGTCACATTTATAAACAAAATTATAGAAAATATTCTTGTAGTCTGATAAATGGAAAATTCATTACAAATTGTAGATTTAAAATAGCAACGTTTGTTAATCCATCTTCTTAACTTGTAAACACGTAAAAGAATATATTTTAAAACATATTCAAGATAATGTTAATATACTTAAATATTTAACAGAGTAAGGTTAAATAAGGAAATTACCTACTGCGAGAGATTTAAAAAAACTATCAGCCAACGTTAATCAACACGTGTACGATAGTAATTGACAACCATTTGCCATGTAAACATTTGAAAATTTATTCATTTAACTAAATTCTACGCGTATTAAAATAACTTTAATAATTTTTTGGTACAGAGAAATTACGTAAAAATAATAATTTTTAATAAAATATATAAATTTGATTTAAAAAATATTTTTCTTTCTTCGAGTTCGCCATCTTTCGTCGGTTATGCGAACTATTACAAGGTCTACTAACAATAATCGAAAGAGGGTAGAGTTGGTAGGGATTTTAATGCCTTTCTTAAGAAAAACTCATTTTCTTAGATAAATTAATAGTAATTTAAGTTGTTATGATAATTTATGATAGATATAAACTTTATTGCAACTAATAGTGAGATTGTTTGTGCTTAAGAAGTTTAATTTTAAAAGATAAGAAGACCAACGCCCGAATTGCGTCACTTGAAATGCTTAGAAGTTGAAGAAGACATAAAAAATGGGAAATAGTCACAGTAGTTCGGAATATCGTGAGCAAATCGGAAGAAATCGGACTATCGACCGTCTTAGAAGAAGCATCAGAGCGAGCTTACATAAAAGGAAGAGGGAAGGAAACAAGTGGCACGACGATGAGGTTGCTGTTCGAAATGGTGTTTGTAGCTTTCCTGTCAAGTATTTAGGATGTGTACAGGTATTCGAATCTAGAGGGATGCAGGTGTGCGAGGACGCTCTGGAAGAACTACGCAAGTCGAGGAAACATCCCGTCAGGGCGGTTTTGCACGTTAGCGGCGACGGCATTCGCGTGGTCGAGGACGAAACTAAAGGACTGTTAGTCGATCAGACTATAGAGAAAGTCTCTTTCTGTGCGCCGGACAGGAACCACGAGAAGGGCTTTTCTTATATTTGTCGCGACGGAGCTACTAGAAGATGGATGTGTTACGGATTTCACACGACGGGAGATTTGGGAGAGCGTCTGAGTCACGCCGTCGGGTGTGCGTTTACAGTTTGTTTGGAGAAGAAAATGAATAGAGATAAGGATACGACGGTTACCGCCCAGACCGAACCCTCCGCTTTTGTCAGAACGGGCTCTTTTAAACGGGCGCCGTTAACCGAAAGAATAAAGGATCCTCAACGGTGTAAACTGTCGGAACCGCCGCCCGTGAAGTCCGTACAGAATCCCCACGCGATAGAAAGACCCCACGCTCCTACGCTAATGCTCCAACGGCAGGCTTCCTGTCGACGTTTTGGAAAACTCGACCGCGCTTCCCCTTTTAAAAGGCAGCTTTCGTTACGAATAACCGATTTACCTTCCACTCAAGCCAGGCAGCAAGCAATGTGCTTAAATCCTATCGAGAATTTTCATCAACCCATTATTGAACTATCACCCATGAGTGAATTCCTGAATGAAATTAAGGAGATAAATAACGATACAAAATTTTGTAAAAGTAATAGTGCAGTATCGACCGACGAAACAACAGACGTAAAAGAACAAATTCCAAATGGTAGTAGTCAGTCGGTGAATTCTGCAAAAAGTATTCAACCATCTGTTTCCCAAAAAACTGATATTTCTAAGCAAGAAAAATCAAAAACGCTGTTTGAAATATCTTTAGAAGCACAAGCTTGTAAGAATGACATTCCTAGTCCCGGAGAATTTGACAAAAAGTGGATGGCGTTAGACACTTACCAAAATATTAATTCCAATTCTGTAAAAACTTTTGAGGTCCATATGTGATAATCAGGTGCAATAGATATGGTAAGACTTGTTAAACTATATAATTGTATTTGTGTTACCATTTACATATATGGTTTTTTACACCATAAATGTGACTTATGATTACATTCTTTAAATAATTTACATTTTTTATAATATACAGGGTGAGGAAGTTGCTGTTTTAACAGGGTTGGTTTTAAAAAAATATATTATATATATATTATTTACTTATTATTTAACTGACTCATTTTAAACAATAATAATTATTGCTTCAGTTTCACTGTACAATTGTTATATCAAAATTTGAATATTAATAAAGTTTACATTTTTATTAATTATAGTTTTTTTAATAAAATGTAATAAATTGTCTTTATTTTATGAAAAAAATGAGTTTGTTTTAGATTTATTAATATAAACAATTTAGCATTATCGAAGGTTAAATTTTTATGTATTTTATGCTAAATATATAAATTCACAAATTAAAACATAAATAGATATTATTTCAACATATTTGATAAGAAGAGATGATTTCATCAGAAAGCAATTTACTAGTAATTGATAGTTCCTAGTATACCTACGTCAGAATTGTTTCATGGCAAATTGTGACACAGACGTAAAGAAATAAATATTTAAGTCATCTGTGTGTGATTAATTGGTCAAAGACCTCAATAAAGTAGTTTTCAAAATTTTATATTCTTATGTCCTGATTTGTATATTTAAAAGTATGTCAGGGACTCCAGTAATGAATTGATAATTGTGACAGAAGATATCAGAAGAATGATCTTAAATTTTATGAGATGCATTTATTATTAGAACAGTATATAAAGATCAAGTTAACTCTGGTTTGAATCATGTAAAGTAACTAGTGATAAATCAAGTGAGTTAATAATAATAATACAGAAATGGAATGATTTTATATTGATTCTGCATTTCTCTTCCAAACAATCTTATTTGTTTGGAAGAGAAATGCAAAATTAGTTTTTTAATTTTATTAAGACTAAGAAGTTGTTTATTGATTTTTTTAAACTATTTATCCAGTAGTAAATTTAATTTAGTTATTGCTGTCATTCCAAAGAAATTCATAAAAATTAATCAAACTGTTACAAAAAAATATCTTTTTTATAAAAATTAAAAATGATAAAAATTAATAATGATAAAAATAATGATATAATAAAATATAAAAATAAAAATAATTGTCATTAATAAGAACAAAAGTAAATTAATTTAAATCAAGAACTGTGTGCATTGCAGGCTGATGTTAATGATCCATATAAACACGTGATGAATTCATTAATTAAATCCATTAAATTCTGTCAAAACAAACGATAGCGTGTATAAATTAAAAAAAAAAAAACTTGATATGCCAAATTTTGTATTTTAATTAATTATGTTAATTAGTTGAATTTTTCAGCCGTAAAACATTTAAAAACCAGCCTATAACGAATTTCATTGTGGTTTCGGTTGGGCGAGAAAATTCGAAACATTAAAGAAACGCTCATTAAAACTTGGTATAAATACTTCATAACTGTTTCTATTAAATTTGTATACAATATATTCACGCTAAAGAACATAAAATATCGTTTCGTGCATCCTGCAATAGTAATAAGAAAATAAATCTCCGTAATAATCTGTTTAGAAAGAGGATTGATATGAAATTAATGCTAAGCCTCAAATTTGACCCGAATTAAATAATAAAACAGTAAAATTGCCGTCGTGTATTTTCGGATGGGCGTTGGTCATCTTCCTCAACTTTCGACTCATCTCCGCCCAATGGCCTTTCGGTTCTCGGTACTTAATAATTTCACACGTCAGTGGCATATCCTGGATTTTGGGAATATGGGTACTGCTCGGGAGACAGGCTCGTGCTCCCTGTCACATTTTTCGGAGAATGTTAATCACCTTAGAATTACTTCAGTCGCGTCATCTTACCTACCCGAATGAGTTAAATTAGGCTACCGTATCTATAATTCCTTTATAATTTCTTATATGATCATTGATGAAATTGGGTTTGTGCATTAAAAGCTCGGCAGGAAATTAAGTTTTTCAATAAAAAAAATAAATTATATACTGTACAATGAAAAATTCAAAATGTAACCATTAAGTTTAAATTATTTTTATCAACACGCTGTAAATCCGCGGTTGTTACGAGAAAGAATAATCTTCAAGAACTTTTGTAAGCTTCAAATTAAATAAAATGTCTAGTGAAGTAGTTTGTAATGTCTACTCTTAGTAATACTGTATATCTTTGATTGTAGGAAGTTCCCATTTTTATCATCTGATTGATTCTCAAATAACCGTCGTTAAACAAACCTTTATAAATCGAACTATATTTTCCCCAAGTTTGTTGTTATAAATTGAAATTCTATTACCGAAAAAACACATCGATCAATATAATACTGTATCAAAGAATAGAACATCTGGCAAGTCATAATAGAAAATTTATGCTAATTATTATTAAAACAATATCAACTATATTAGCATAAGGTGCAATAAATTGTATATTACGTCACCTGTATGCAGTAACATTTTAAGAAGTTTGTAGGTTCTAGATATAGTACATTAATGTTTTTAGGCTCATTCTCCTCCCGCACACGTATCAAATATGTTTCGATATACGGTGAAACCTCGCTTTGTGGTCATTCGTAAAATTCTCTTGTAAAACTGCATAAGTTTTAATGGAAATTAGACTCTATCTTAATGGCCACCGGAAACCACTTAAATGGTCAAAATAGAAATGTCCTAAAGTGACATTTATTTCCATTTACTTAGCTAAGCCATCAGAGTAGAAAAATCCCGCGTTCGCAAATTCAACGCATTATTTAAAGCATTTTAAATTGAACTTTATTGCTATTGTTTTGGAACAGTTTGTCGATATCTGTATTAAACATATAACAGAATTCAGTGCAGTACTCTAGTTATAGTTTTGTATATCAATTTTTTCATACCCCACTTTCGTACCACCTCACCTATGTGGCCATTTAAGTGGGTCGTGTGTATATGCCGAGGGTGGTCACATAAATGAGGTTTTACTATATTTAAATTTCTTTCTTCATTTTCTTGTACATACGGTGGCTACATTATGGGCGTGCGTCCACAGAAAATTTTCCAGGGGAGTCAAATAATTAGATCAATGAATTTTTATTTAATTTTTGGGGTTTTCTCACAAGTAGATTATAAAATACAGTATTGCATCAAAGTGTCCCATGGTCGAGGATGTAAGATTACATATCTCAATCACTTTTACGATTATAATTTGCAGTGGCGTAGCGTAGTGGGGGCGACAAGGGCGGAAAAATTTTACAATAAATAATAATAATATCTTGTAAAAATTTGAACCGTTTCATTTCATATTTTGTCGCACCTACGATTCGGACCGATTGAAATGAGCACGGAATTTTTCATTACTTATTCTGAGACGAAACTGAATTTTAGTCTTTTAAATTGGAATACCTAAATAAGGGAGCGGCGAAATTTTCCTCCGCCCCGGGCGGCTGACACCCACGCTATGCCACTGATAATTTGTGTAATTTTTTACTCGATCCCAGGAAGGTGTCCCATTTGCCTTCCTCTATAAACGCCTGTGGCTACATATATCCAAGACGGATACATATCCAAGTAAACTCATCTATGAAAATATCTGAATCAGCTACTAAATGAATCCCTTTGATCGATCGTTATAGGAGGGTCGGGATCATATACCGGTAGTAGTAGCTGGTTCAGATATTTTCATAGATAGATTTACTTCGATATATCCGTCCCGTTCATCGTGAGTCGGATCGAACCCATGAGGAATAGAGCTTTTTCCATGTTCCTGGAAAGTACAGAAAGTTAAAATTAAAAATTTTTTGATAGCAGGTGGAAAAATTACACATTTTGCGAGGATAAACGGCTTAAAATTTGAAGAGGAGATAAATAGTCTAATAATATAACGAGTTTTATAATTTGGCTATTTATAAAATTATGGCAGTTAGTTACTACCGGTATGATAATTTAATAAATATCATTAAAACTTTTACAGATGCAAAAATATGTTTAGCATAATTACTAAGAGAAGTAACGTGAACATATTTTGTACTTTTTCTGACAAGCTTCAAAAACAGTAAACTGTCACTTTTCTGACCTTATTGGTTTATGGAAAACCGTCGTAAAGCGAGGCCTAGTGGTTCCCGTAATTTCGATATCATAAATTGAATTATTTCCGTGGAAATGACCATTTTAACTCTATCAGTGTTTTTCAACCTTTTTGAATACGCGACTCCTTTACAAGTTAAAAAATTCTGGCGACCCCCCCAAGGCCATATTAAAACTATATCAGTGATTTTAAAAACTACGTATTTAATTTTCTTTCTTTAAATATCGATCGAAAAACCAATTGTACTGTAAAATAACAGGCACAGCCTTCTTACTGAAATTCTAGTTTTTTTTATCGTAGTGTAGGACCTACAAACACTTGTCTTTTTCTTTCACCCGCGACCCCCCCTGTAAGGCTTTGGGACCCTCCTGAGGGTCGCGACCCACAGGTTGAAAAACACTGAACTATATGATCTATAAAAAGATGACCGAAACAAGGAAGAATGCGGTATTCCATTTAGTCATAATAAAAGGAACTTTATACATCATAAATATCATAAAAGTGAAGGTTATAAAACTTGCAGTCTTAAAGCGAGATCTAATTATATAATTTGATTATTCTTATTTGTTTCTTTTTAATCATTATATAAAAGAAAAAATTAAATACTGTACTGTATAGCAAAATTCAAGTGGATATAGAAAAATGTTAGCTTATTTGTTTCTACCTTCATATAAATATTTATAAGCAATTAACTAATTCTGAAAATGAACTCGAATAATTCGTTTTAAATTAGCACATTTAACAAGGAAACTGCATTGAATAGTGTTCCCGGCATCGTTAAAATTTCCATATAGCCCGATTGCCTCGTACAAGTGCAATGTTTGTGGTTCGAAGCACCAATATCTTCCGTATGTCGTAAGATGGCACAAAACTAGATTTCGTTTTATTTAAACCGCTATATATCTCTCCAGACAATGCCGAATACGAGTAATTTAATTACGATCATCTCATACCTAACCAAATCTGTCAAACGCGTGAAGTATTTCGTAAATTATTTTTAGAATATCGCGGATTTACTTTTTTTACTTTCCCGGCTGTTATACAGAGGGAAAGTATGACGATCCGGCAAAAAATGACCCCCCGATTTTTAAATTTTTGGACTTAGGACAGCTTGAAACGTCGAGAAATGCAAAATAAATAAATAAAAATAAAAACAATTCTGAGGTAATTTCTGTACGTATCGATGTTAGTGTGTGTGTGTAGCACAATATTGTTTACCCTGTTTGAAGCTCAATAACTTCTATGCTTTTTATCGAAAATTTCTGAAATTTCGCAGAAATGTTTGTTTATTACGAGATTGATGCTATTAAAATTTGGTGATTAAAAGTGGAGGGAGTGGGGAGATAATAGGGGTCGTGTGTATCGCCGGTATCGGACTTGTGACAATTTTACTGGTATTGGCATTTAAAATTTTTTATATAACCCATTCTTATTTTCAAAATTAAGCTTTTCGCTATTTTATAATAGTTAAAAATATAAAATTGTTTTTAGTAAAATACGATAAGAGATGGCGTCACCAAATGTCGCCGGGAAAGTTAAGCAACCCGTTGCTGGATTTTTTAATAAAAGCATTTAACAAATGAAGAAAATAAAGAAAATTTTCATACAAAATAGATCGATGAGAATTGCTTGTTTAATGACACAATTCAAAGACAACAATCTTTCTTCTTATTTGTCACAAAATAACAGAATATCTTATGTTTTGAATAATTCTACTAAATTCTGAATAAAGTTTAGTATATTGTTATATTGTTAAGGATATTGTCTGCCATTTTAGTTTTGAGTCATTACAGGCATTCCAATTCCGCTGGTGTTACTGTTTATCCTGTAATATTTATATCAGCAATTCCTAATTTTCCGCTTAGCCTAACTCTATTCCCGATTTTTACCGAGTATTGTGAACCCACAACGTTCTTCCTTCTTTCATCTACTATAATGCCTAGATTTTGCATAATGTAGTAGATTTGGAAAGAAAAAGAAAACATTTTTAAGATGTAACCACAAACCTTTATTTCGGTTACAAAAAAACATTGACTTATATCTAATGCGATGATCGAAATTGTTTCGTTTTTGTATTTAAAATGGTTTTGAGATTGAACTTTATGCCGACAACTGAATACATAAATCTGAGGTGGCGCGCAATCTCGGATTTACTATTTAGCCGTCGGGAATAAAACCCATTTCAAAAGTCCAACCCATTTCTAAATTTGTTTTCGGTGTAAGCATAAGTTGGGGAACCGAATTCGCATCAATAAGTTGACACGAAAGAAAGCTGGGGGATCCGGGTTCGAATCCGAACGGGTCGAAAAATCCCCAGGAAATTTTCGGGGGGTGGTCGTTCAGATATGTCGGGCCCCGTCCCTCACCACCAGGCAGCCCCATCGTGGACCTGGCCGAACCCATAATGGGCTTGCAAAAAGAGGCCCTCTTAATGCCCACAGGGCGGAAAGAGTTAAAAAAAAAAAGATTTTTTTTTAATACGGCCGGATGGCCGAACGGTCAAGGTGGCAGCTGCCGCTCTGGGAAACTCGGAATCGAATCATAGGAATTTTTCGGGGTGGTTCGACTGGATATGTCGGTTCCCGTCCCTCACTATGCGGCCATATCAATCCCATTGTGAGCCCAGTCCTGCTAAAAGAAGCCTTCTTAGTGTCCACAGGGCGGAGTTTGAAAAAAGTACAAGGAAGGAAAGGAGAAATGTAGTACAAGGACTGTATACTACAAGGATAGCCAGATCCCTATTCTACAGTGTTAGCCAGGAATGGCAAGTTAGTGACGTCAGCACGTGTCCTGACCTCTCTGTTTACATAGAGCAGGGTGTGCACGTGTTTAGTTTTCGCTTTTAATATTCGTCCAATTTTGTGATTAACGAAGTGATTTATTTTAATATTTCTGTAATTGTTTTATTTGACTAAGTTTTTTATAAGGTAAGATGATTTAAATATAAGTCATTAAATATTTAAAGCTATATTTTTATGTTAGGTGAAGAACAAAATACTGAGTACTAGGTGTGCTGTGTATGGTTGCAATAATAACCTTCTTTTTTCAAATTGGAAGCAACCTATTAACATCGGGTTTGATCAAAAAATGACAAGAGAAATACTTTTAAAATTAATAGCAGAACTTTATTTACTATCGTATAATGTAGTAGCTTGCGTCAGTGACTGTAGTTGCAGTAACATAAGTTTATGGAAAGAATTGAATGTGAATATCAATGAAACGTTTATTATGAATCAATTATTATTATCAATGAAACGTATATTAGAGATATAAATATGTGGTTCGACATTTTTAATAGCTATGCACCAAAAGGTTCTGTTCCAAGCAAAAATGGATATGGTGTAGACTTGGAATTACAAGAAGAACATTTAAATAAAATGATAAAAATAATCTCAACAATGAGAGCAAGTGGAAAAAATGCCCTCCAAATTTTCCAGAAAGGAATGATAATCTCAATGAAATCGCTAATTGATCTTTTTCAAGATATGAAATCGACTTTTGATATAAAATACATCTGCACTCACAATTTAAATCAAGATTGTCTGGAAAACTTTTTTTTTTAAAATTAGAAGCCGGGGTCCTAATGAACATCCAAGCCCATTAAATGCTATATATAGGATTAGATTGATTATTTTAGGTAAGAATCCTGGTATTTTAGAGTCAAAAGTAAATACTACAGATCGAAGACAAGAGGAATATATTATACCCAAAGTTTTAGAGAAAGCACATGTAGAAGTATCAAGTGAAAATACAGACCAATATACTGAATGTAAAACTACTTTTTCTTCAAATAAATCTTCAGGAAACTCTACATGCAATCTAGACTTTAACACAATCTCTGAAGAAACTTCCTACGATGCTCTCGAGTATATAGCAGGATATTTTGCCTATAAATATAAAGAAAAATACCCAAACTTAATTAATTCCACTAACAAAATTAAAAATCATTACAACTATAGCATTCCGTCATGGGTGCAACATTTATCTTATGGAGGGCTTATTAAACCTACTGATGAATGGCTAGCAAAAATTATAGAATGGAATAAATATTTCGAAATATATCACGATGAATCGTATAAAAAAGGCCCCGGAGTTGTACAGAATTAGTCAGTGGAAACAGTTTTACCTTTTACTTTAATAAAAGATTTTTGTAAATTAAGAACTATAATAAGAATTAATTATAGAAATCTTAAACAAGAAAACTATAAAATATTGAAAAGAATGCCTTCTGAAAATGGTGATTGTCGAAAAAAAATTAAAAAGTTAAGTAAGATAATCACATAATAAAAAATATAGCTCATTAATTTGTTAAATAAATATTAGACAAAAGACTTGTAAATTTATTGACGTACAGTACACTTATTAAATCCGAAAATTCTACAGTAGTTTACATTTAGTAGTAATTTAATAATTAATTAAGAAATGATTTAATATTTTATCGTATTTTGTTATTTGAAAGGTCTGTTATGTTGAAGTAGAGGACTTGCTGTGACGTCACATAGATCCAAGGTCATGCTAACAAATATACGGGATCTGGCTATCCTTGTAGTTTAAAGTCCTTGAATGTAGTATAATATACTATTTGATGTTAAACAAGTTAAAGTATCATAACGTTAATAATACAGATGTAATAAATTATTATTAAACAAAATTTGAAAATAGAAATAAATTATAAGTAATATTTTATAATTATTAATAAAACTTTTTTATACATTTTAATTTATAAAAGATTTAATAAAATCCGGTAGGGTTCGCTAGTCGCGAGAAAACGAAACGAGAAAATCAAAGTAATGTACGAGAAACGAATTTAAATCGAAATCTATATCCATTTCTGTAAGTATTTTAGCTCTTTAATCAATAAGTGATACCGAAAAAATCCTTTATAAGCATCAAATCTATTTAATTTAATACATTTTTTACATAAAAGATAAATAAAAAACCTCCTAATTAGTACATCAGTGATGTAATTTCTGCTTAGTTTTGTTTTTCTAGGTTCTTAATATCGAAGAGTTCCGAGTATTTACAGGATTGGATTCATTGATAAGAATGCAGTAATTAAAGAGTGAGATTGAATGACAGTCATATACATGCTCCATTGATTATGTGTGTTATATTTTTGTTTTGCATCAAAAATAATTAAGTAGATAAAGAGATTAGCATGATATATATGATCATAACAGATGATAATCTTAGAATTTTTTTTTAGTATACTATAAATACACAAACAGAATAATTTTAGTACGTGCGGGTCAACATTATAATTGTAACACATTGGAATAATTTAGGTTATTTATTCATACATATATACAGGGATGCCAAAATCTTGATATGGGAACCTGGGTTTAGAGTTGGTACTTTTTAACTTTTTTTTTTTTGAACAAAAGAAATTTGTACGTTTCTTTATTAATAAAAAGCAGTCTCAAAGATTTTTTTTTTTGTTAATGAAAATAACATGAATTTTCAAGATAGGAACTACTATGAGTCCCTAAGTTTTCTCCAGTCCTAGGGAAATATCCTCAGTTCCCTCCTCTCAATAGCCCTGCATGCATACATATATACAAAATATCTAAAAGTAACTTATACCTTAACTTTCTACCACATATTTAGGATTGAATTTTAGGATAGATTATAAATAACATAATCAAACAAATTCTATAGAAATAAAAACATTTTGAATTAAATTTATCAATATTTAAAACAACACAAATAAGCATAATTTAGGAGCCATTCATTTTAACAAAATATTTTGATTGTAATAATTAGAAGTGTCATCATATATAATACTTTTATTGTTGCCAGTAAACTGAATAATACAGAATTTCAGCATGTGTCATGTTACTTGTTAAGTTTTATTATTTGTGTCATTCAAATGTGAAATGCAATTGTACAGTACTTTTTAGGGAAATATAAGTGAAAAATACTTGAATTGATTCATTTTAAATAAAAAAAAATGTTAACTTAAAATATATACTTGTAAATATGTATATTTAATTGAAAATTACATATGTAAACTTTTATTTTCCTGTTGTGATTAGTTTAAAAATTTGTTTTTGAATGCCTGATGTATTTAAAACCACATATATTTAATTTTTTACCTTTGAAAATTTGATTTATATAATAGAATGGATTCAAGATTTTAATAATCTACAAGATTATTATAATTAAAATTTTTGCTACTTAAAATGTATAAAATATACATTTAAATTAGCCATTCATTTTAATTAACTTTAAGAATTAAACATTCTTAAAGTTTTCAAATTAAAAATGTTAATATAGTTTGTTATGTTCTGTTTCTTTCAAATATTTTTGATTGCAAATTATAATAATTGTAATTTTTAAAAAATGTTTTGCTGCCTAAAGATGTTTCAAATAAAAGCACAATTTTTTCTCTTCCTGGTGCCATTGACCTCTTGCTAAGACTGTATATAAGCAAACAAACCAAAAAATTCGGGTGTGTCCTTCATGATGTATTTTGTTCTAAAATTTTTTTGGTATGTAGTTAAATGATCGCCTTAAATACTCGGGCTATAAATTTGCTAATTTTAATAATTTGAGCTGTTGATTTTGAAAGTGGGGCAAGTCCATAAAGCTAATTCTTATTACAAATTAACATAAAATTTGTTTTTAATCAATTCACAATAAATATCTTTTAATATCAGTATAAATTTGTTACTAGTAATTTACATCATCAATGATATTTACAGTGAGTTGATTTTGAAAGTGAGGCAAGTCCACTGTAAAGAAAAATATGAAGATATGATGGATTTATTTCCCTATGTACTACTCATTTATCATGAATACTTTAAAAATATGCGTCATCTAAACTAAGAAATATAATTATATGCATGCAACTTTTTACTAAATATTTTTTATTATTATCTGTTTTTTCCTATAAAATTAAATTTATTTTTTGTTTTATTGCANATATAAACAATTTAGCATTATCGAAGGTTAAATTTTTATGTATTTTATGCTAAATATATAAATTCACAAATTAAAACATAAATAGATATTATTTCAACATATTTGATAAGAAGAGATGATTTCATCAGAAAGCAATTTACTAGTAATTGATAGTTCCTAGTATACCTACGTCAGAATTGTTTCATGGCAAATTGTGACACAGACGTAAAGAAATAAATATTTAAGTCATCTGTGTGTGATTAATTGGTCAAAGACCTCAATAAAGTAGTTTTCAAAATTTTATATTCTTATGTCCTGATTTGTATATTTAAAAGTATGTCAGGGACTCCAGTAATGAATTGATAATTGTGACAGAAGATATCAGAAGAATGATCTTAAATTTTATGAGATGCATTTATTATTAGAACAGTATATAAAGATCAAGTTAACTCTGGTTTGAATCATGTAAAGTAACTAGTGATAAATCAAGTGAGTTAATAATAATAATACAGAAATGGAATGATTTTATATTGATTCTGCATTTCTCTTCCAAACAATCTTATTTGTTTGGAAGAGAAATGCAAAATTAGTTTTTTAATTTTATTAAGACTAAGAAGTTGTTTATTGATTTTTTTAAACTATTTATCCAGTAGTAAATTTAATTTAGTTATTGCTGTCATTCCAAAGAAATTCATAAAAATTAATCAAACTGTTACAAAAAAATATCTTTTTTATAAAAATTAAAAATGATAAAAATTAATAATGATAAAAATAATGATATAATAAAATATAAAAATAAAAATAATTGTCATTAATAAGAACAAAAGTAAATTAATTTAAATCAAGAACTGTGTGCATTGCAGGCTGATGTTAATGATCCATATAAACACGTGATGAATTCATTAATTAAATCCATTAAATTCTGTCAAAACAAACGATAGCGTGTATAAATTAAAAAAAAAAAAACTTGATATGCCAAATTTTGTATTTTAATTAATTATGTTAATTAGTTGAATTTTTCAGCCGTAAAACATTTAAAAACCAGCCTATAACGAATTTCATTGTGGTTTCGGTTGGGCGAGAAAATTCGAAACATTAAAGAAACGCTCATTAAAACTTGGTATAAATACTTCATAACTGTTTCTATTAAATTTGTATACAATATATTCACGCTAAAGAACATAAAATATCGTTTCGTGCATCCTGCAATAGTAATAAGAAAATAAATCTCCGTAATAATCTGTTTAGAAAGAGGATTGATATGAAATTAATGCTAAGCCTCAAATTTGACCCGAATTAAATAATAAAACAGTAAAATTGCCGTCGTGTATTTTCGGATGGGCGTTGGTCATCTTCCTCAACTTTCGACTCATCTCCGCCCAATGGCCTTTCGGTTCTCGGTACTTAATAATTTCACACGTCAGTGGCATATCCTGGATTTTGGGAATATGGGTACTGCTCGGGAGACAGGCTCGTGCTCCCTGTCACATTTTTCGGAGAATGTTAATCACCTTAGAATTACTTCAGTCGCGTCATCTTACCTACCCGAATGAGTTAAATTAGGCTACCGTATCTATAATTCCTTTATAATTTCTTATATGATCATTGATGAAATTGGGTTTGTGCATTAAAAGCTCGGCAGGAAATTAAGTTTTTCAATAAAAAAAATAAATTATATACTGTACAATGAAAAATTCAAAATGTAACCATTAAGTTTAAATTATTTTTATCAACACGCTGTAAATCCGCGGTTGTTACGAGAAAGAATAATCTTCAAGAACTTTTGTAAGCTTCAAATTAAATAAAATGTCTAGTGAAGTATTTTGTAATGTCTACTCTTAGTAATACTGTATATCTTTGATTGTAGGAAGTTCCCATTTTTATCATCTGATTGATTCTCAAATAACCGTCGTTAAACAAACCTTTATAAATCGAACTATATTTTCCCCAAGTTTGTTGTTATAAATTGAAATTCTATTACCGAAAAAACACATCGATCAATATAATACTGTATCAAAGAATAGAACATCTGGCAAGTCATAATAGAAAATTTATGCTAATTATTATTAAAACAATATCAACTATATTAGCATAAGGTGCAATAAATTGTATATTACGTCACCTGTATGCAGTAACATTTTAAGAAGTTTGTAGGTTCTAGATATAGTACATTAATGTTTTTAGGCTCATTCTCCTCCCGCACACGTATCAAATATGTTTCGATATACGGTGAAACCTCGCTTTGTGGTCATTCGTAAAATTCTCTTGTAAAACTGCATAAGTTTTAATGGAAATTAGACTCTATCTTAATGGCCACCGGAAACCACTTAAATGGTCAAAATAGAAATGTCCTAAAGTGACATTTATTTCCATTTACTTAGCTAAGCCATCAGAGTAGAAAAATCCCGCGTTCGCAAATTCAACGCATTATTTAAAGCATTTTAAATTGAACTTTATTGCTATTGTTTTGGAACAGTTTGTCGATATCTGTATTAAACATATAACAGAATTCAGTGCAGTACTCTAGTTATAGTTTTGTATATCAATTTTTTCATACCCCACTTTCGTACCACCTCACCTATGTGGCCATTTAAGTGGGTCGTGTGTATATGCCGAGGGTGGTCACATAAATGAGGTTTTACTATATTTAAATTTCTTTCTTCATTTTCTTGTACATACGGTGGCTACATTATGGGCGTGCGTCCACAGAAAATTTTCCAGGGGAGTCAAATAATTAGATCAATGAATTTTTATTTAATTTTTGGGGTTTTCTCACAAGTAGATTATAAAATACAGTATTGCATCAAAGTGTCCCATGGTCGAGGATGTAAGATTACATATCTCAATCACTTTTACGATTATAATTTGCAGTGGCGTAGCGTAGTGGGGGCGACAAGGGCGGAAAAATTTTACAATAAATAATAATAATATCTTGTAAAAATTTGAACCGTTTCATTTCATATTTTGTCGCACCTACGATTCGGACCGATTGAAATGAGCACGGAATTTTTCATTACTTATTCTGAGACGAAACTGAATTTTAGTCTTTTAAATTGGAATACCTAAATAAGGGAGCGGCGAAATTTTCCTCCGCCCCGGGCGGCTGACACCCACGCTATGCCACTGATAATTTGTGTAATTTTTTACTCGATCCCAGGAAGGTGTCCCATTTGCCTTCCTCTATAAACGCCTGTGGCTAC